AGGACGTCATGTCTGCTGGGATTAATCTTTTCAATGGTACTTCATGTGAAATCTCCTATGATTATAATTGGCTACATAATGTTGACAGTTGATAACGTACCCAGCAGGGGACCTAACAAAAATGGGAGAGGGCATAAAGTTTAAGAAAGGAAGGAATGAATCATTGATTCCAAATCATTTTTGATATAGCCAGTGCAAGGTGGCGGAAAGATACTCTCCATAATCTCTCTTGAACAGACTCAATTAAACCGAGTCTGTTATTTTCATTTTTAAACCGTGTCCTCATTGCTCCTTGTTGATATCAACTTCCCAGATGCTTTACTTTCAACAGCAGCTGTCAAGTGCCATGTGACGGCTGTACGAATCGTACTTCACTTCAGTGTTGTTATATCATTTTCTGGTCCTTCGGGATCATTGATTCAAAAAAAATTCTTGTGTTGAAGACTGACCACACTGCCCAGTTATTGCAGCAGGACACCCTTATCATACTCTGTCACATATATTCATTTATTTATAATAATGACAAACATATAAAAGTGTTAAAAATTATGTTTGCTAAAATATTGATTTCATTCCGAGCATGTTCAGACTAGAGCATGGTTAACAAAGAAGAAGAATACTGTTGAAAAAGATACAAAAGGTTTATTTGAAAATATTACATAAATACAATTATTATCTAGATCTAATACTCTATTGTATTTGCTTGATGCTGTTTCAGTGTAGAACTTTGAGACTTGCAAATATACAACAAACAATAATAGCTGTAATACTGTATATTTGTTATTAAAGGAAGATCGTGTAACATTTATAGCAGATACACTTTTCTTGTGTCTGAAAGAAATAAAATACTACTAAGACAAAATATGCAAATTTTAAAGACCAGTTCAGTAATTGATAACGTCCATTCCTGTCACATTGTAACTAAATATTCTATCACTAGACAGACCGATTGTCCACATATTGTATATATAAAACATAATTTAATCAGTGTGACAATATTACTGTCTCTCCCATTGAATCACGTGGTTATAATTGTACTATATTACTGTTTGCAATTTTATCACCATAGTCCCTGTTAGTTGTCTACATTCGGTGTTCTTTTGTCTATATCTAAACTATCCATTATTACATGGATACAAGTGTCTTCGTGTTGTACATAGATATTATCCATTTTGTTACATTTAAGACGCAAAGAGTGCACCATGAGAGTTCATAGCGATTATATTCTAACTTTCTTTTTGTCACTAGATATGTATCACTTTGATTTCGACTATAGGTCCCAAAATAAATCACAGCTCTTGTATTAGTGCAAGGTTTTGCTCTTCACAATAAAGATAGATATTTTTCTTGGTAATGCAAAATATTTTCTTGGTATATTTTGATAATCTACAAGTACAAATGTTGCTGCAATGCAGAAGCTCCGCGCAAAACAAATGCGATCATTTCAGATACCTTGCAAAATCATTCCTACGCTCAAGTCATTTTCTACTTAGATTACTAATGTGCATTATTTCGGATATTTTGTAAATCATTTGAATTTACATAATTAAACTTATCGTACGCACTTTCTATGAGAGAGGGCCAGATATTAAAAAACAAGAAGTATCTTAAAAATAGATAGTCGGCCGAAGTAAAACTATTTAACTTGCATAGTTTCGATACAAAACGAAATGTTAGCAATGCTTGAATAACAATGATAATAATTATTTCTTGTAGCTAAGATAAAAATCATTTTGTAAACACTGAAATTAAATTATAGCATAGTAAAATTGATGTCTTTTCAAAGAATGACAACTTCTTTTTAACAGTATTGATTTAGGTGTCCTTTTTACTTGTTTTTTCTTCTTCTTTAATTTAGAATGGTAAGAACTATCCCTTACATTTTATTTTAGAATGGTAAGAACTATCCCTTACATTTTATTTTAAGATGACCAATAAAATTCTCCGATTTCAATTTATAATTTCAAATGACTTATCAATATTCTGCTTTAATCCAGTCCTTCCCTGTTAATTTTACAGGAAGTCAAACTGAAATCAGATGGACTTCGTCTGACAAAAATGCTTTCACTAATGCCTACCTGGTAAGGAAAGTAATTCCAATACATAGTTTTTTATCTTCATTAAATAATATTAATGTTTGGTAATTAGTGCCGCATTACTTGTAATAAAGTATTAACCTAATTTAAATGCAATGTTAATCAGCACACATCTTTCATCTGAAAATGGAATAAGGTAAAGATAATGATGAAATGAACCAGAAAAAAGTAATTTTATTTTAAAAGAAAAAGAGCATGAAGGGCGATAGTAATTTAATGGAGCGACAAGCTGACTTACCTGAAGGGCGGCAGTAATATAATGGAGCGACAAGCTGACTCACCTGAGCTTTACAAGATACATGTATGTCGATATCTTGATAAAGGTATTTTGATAGTTAACAAAAAATGATGAAAAACTTTGGAATTACCCAAAATCTAGTTTTTCCATGTTAACATGTGGTCTTTCACCGAATTTTGATGAAAAATTGTTGTTTTGTAACATTTTTAATTTTTTTAGTTAACCCTTTCCCCCATGAGCATATTGTGAAAAATGGCCGTTTTCATTGAAAAGCTTCCTGTTACAAGTTCAAACTGCTATGAAACTATGAAAAATGCTTCAATATTAATCAAACTTGGCACAAATGTTGACTGGACCTTTGCCTTTGTAACGACATGCTCAGTCTTAAATTTCCTGTTACCATGGCAACGAGGGGACGTCTCAAAATTGCCAAAAAAAACATTTTTTTGCCTTGATTTTTTCCATCAAAATTTATTTCAAAGTGCTGCAACTTTTCAAGGGATTGAGATAGAGTCGAAGGCTTTTCAGCTTTGGTTACACGTTACCTTATGATCGACCTGGGGTCATTTTTAGCCTCTCACAAGTCCAAAATTTTCTTGGCGATGAGGGGGACTACAGCCTCCCTTCAAACACCCCAAACAGAAGGGGAAAATCCCCCTTCTGGCAACCCCCTGATGTATCTTTTGGATGGGGCGGCGCCGAAAAAGTCCTCACTTTTTTAGCAACATTTCTCAAACGAAAATATGTGTTTGGGGCCCAAAATAGGACATTTTTTCACTATTTGAGGCCTAAAAGAGGGGGGTCGAAAGTGCGTTGTTTCGCGTATATATGAGGTAAAGGGTTAAATCAATCGTTAAATGTCGATAGTACATTGTTTAACCATGCAGTCATACCCAAAGAAGCAAAATCGCGAGAAAACATTTCTTTTATTTTGTTGTCTAACTTTCCGGTTGTTTAAGAGTAACTTTATATCATTTTCAAGATTTTAGCTTACCTTTCAGGGTATTTTACATGGTTTTGTTCAGTTGTTTGTAATCGTTGCTTTTTACTTTGATTTCAAAGCAATGTCTTTGTGTTCATCCGTTTTATGGCAGCATATATAAATAATTTTACCCTTGCAATATAAGCGTATTTTTTGGGGACAAGTAGTGTTATTGTAAACACAATTGTGTCTTTTTCCCAACAAAATTGTGCCATTATATTGGAGGATATATTCTCATTCCATATAACAAGCTGCTAAAGATTGATTTTGTAATTCCATTCGGTTTTTTTTTAGAATTTTAAGGCCCGTGCTTCTTGCTCTTAATTGTATTGATACTTAAAAAGTTATTAAAAGATATGATTGCTTTTATTCACTGGTACTATCATTTCCATTGCAAACCATGTTCGTCTTTTGTGTATATGTTTTTTTTCTTTTTTTTTTATATGTAAATGATAATAGTACTAACGTATGATTGTGGGAGAATTTTATTCTTGATTACTGTAAGCATCTAGGTAAAGTAATAAATCATTCAACGGTAGATATCATTTCTAATTAGTCTTATCTAGATGATATACGTGATGTTTGTTATGAATAAAAACCAGAGCCTCTGACAAGTTACTGATGTATTTTCTGTTGTTCATATAAATCAGTATTTTTTTATTTTCACATTTATAATTCAAACTTATACAAAGAAAACGTTTTTATATACATCAGTCAACACGGATTATTTCATTAGAACTAGTCTTTTTAATGCGATAGGTGTTATTTTACTCTATCACACAATAGTGTAAACCTCTACAGATTCCGTGTTGACAGGCTCATTAATTATTGGATTCTTCCGCTCTTGCTCGGCCTTCTAGGAGCACCCAATCATTACATTCAGGTAAAAACATTACTTTCTCGGCAAACATTACTTCACGTTTTACGTTAAGATAGCTGACAGAGCTTTTCTCCGTTTGTTTATAACTTCTTAGAAATCTTGTGTGCGAGCAAATTTGAATTTCAATATTTACTTTATAAATAGCTGGAGAGAGAACCATACGTCGAGGTAAAATGAAAATGATTGACAGGAATAGATAAGGTTAGACATCTCCTAGAATATATGGACGATAGGAATGTTACAGTTTACTGACTGATCGAGTTCTATTTTTTATTCTAATTATTTTATCGTGAAGGCTAGAAAAGATACCACTTTTCGTTGTTGTAAATTAAATAAATATTTCAGTTTTAATTGATCTGTTTTAATTGATATAAACGTCGTTTTATAATACAGATGATTTTAATGTTTAAAATGTTATCAATTTGTTAATAGCGACATACATATGCATTGAAGGAATTGCGTATAATTAAACAATAACATAATATTTGATCATATAAAACAATTAAAAAAAAACGAAAAAAAGTAATTTTGTACTAAATAATTATTGATGACAATTACAGCTTCTCTATAGTGTATCAACACATATAATTGCTAGTGTAGTTAATGTATTAAATCATGTTTTATATATTATATTCTTACAGGTATTAAACGGAACTGAAACTTGTGAATTTAGAAAAAACGTAAACACAAATATACCAGTTTCAAACATGAAGGTTTTGGTCAGCAGATAAGTGCTCTGAATAACTTATTTCTTTTTAAAAACAAGTTCATAACTTTATTGAGAGAACTGGAAACGGATCATACAGATGCTTGATCTACATACTGTGTATTCCTATAAGCTGATGAAATTGGAGTAATACAAATGTATCAGCAAATAGCTTATGTTAAACAATTAAGATAATCAGAAAGTAGTTTAAGGAGAAAGAAACCAGAACATACGATGTTAAAGTTGTATATACATGTTTTGCAAGGTCAAAAATACTTTGAGATAAAACAGTAACGTTAAATCTACTGAATTGTTTTACAAGTGTACATGTTTTAGGTTTGGTTTATAATTTTGGAAGTGAAGTACTCGAAAACAAAGGATATCAACCATGGGAGACAACGAAACATTAAACTGTCCATTTGAGTTGGCAGACCCGATAGGAAAATCTGGGTAAGTCTTAATTATTATGTTGCTTTAACAGCCATGAAACAAAAGATAACTTATTTTAAGTTTTTAAAAAAAAAGAAAACCTTTTTAAAACATAAAAAAAGGGCTATATTGTTTCAGCTTTTTTTTAAGGCATAAAATTAAAAAATTCTCAAAAAAGAATGTATAACAATTATTAAGATCCCTCGTTTTCTAAGTGTCCAAAATTTGTACTCCCCGAGGGAAAATATTGTCCCTTTTCGGTTTCTGGGCAAAATCTCGCCTCTAAGGTTTGCACTGACTTGACCTAATACAAAATGTACTTTATTTTTCACGAAATTTCATTCTTAAACGATTTAAAACAATCTTATACAACGCATTTACCTAACTTTTTTATGAGAAAAAAATATATAACCAGGAGAAACACTAACAATACAATAAAAACTGTTCACCTAATTCAAAGTTTACAATTCGTATTATCAACATTACAGTGCACATCACGATTTGCTAATACTTTTAAAATCACATCCCTAATTATTCTTGATCAGTTTTAATATCACAGTGGATTTATTTCTCAATGAAGACACGGTCCCCATGGAGATATCAGAAATGCATATTTTCTCACAAAACAAATGAGAAGAGGTTGGAAAGTTCTATCAACTATGTCTTTTGTCAACGACAAGAAAAGTCATGAACGTAGTTATCCGATGCACAGACTGTCCCCTTGAGTATAATGTATTTAGAATAAAGGGTACTTATATAGATTATAACAATCAAGCAAATAGTGTAATATTCTGTTACGAAAGTGTAACAAAAAGTTTTGTTAAGAGGGGTTTATATACTTATTTCTGTATCTTTCTGCAAGCTATTTATTGTTAGTTTCAATATATTTGTGACTTTTAAAACAAAGTCAACTTACAGACAACGATTAGTGTGAATTTTTAAATTATTATGTTCATTAGCTTGATGCTTTCATTGAAAACGATTCAATTGTCTGTGTGTGTATATAAGTATGTAGAGGGAGAACTGTACATGCAATTTATATATGGAAGCTTATTGTCCTTGATTGTTATTTTAATTTTTATGTGTCAATGCTTAAACACTATTTAAAAAGTTTGAAATATTATAGTAATTATGATCTAGTATTTTTTTATATTATTATGACTGTAAAATTAAATTCTGTAAATGGTATCATTACAACTAAAATTGCACAGGATGTTTAGGTGACATTAGAAATTTTCATACCAATGTCTGATAGGAAAATCCAAGCGTGAGCTTAAGAACCTGAAACTATTTTATCTATTTAATAAAATCGTTTTATTTTAATCACAACATTAAATAACTTCTTCGATAACTACGCCTCATTTCGTACGAAGCAACAATTTTTCCCGCGAAAATAAATGATTATGTAGTTACATTAATGTGAAATGAATTTAATATTAATTTTGACCAAAACAATTGAATGATCAGAAAATTAAGTTTACAGTTATGTAAATCCATTTGTACCTATTTTGGATAACTGTGAATCTAATGAATTACCATTATCTCGGATATTAATGACAATATCAGCAAGTAGATATCGCAACTGGTGAACATTTCAAAAGCCGTTAATGAACATGTTGGCGTAAAGACTAATTTAACGGCAAAGTTAGAAATAATTCTCTGAAGGGGTTAAAATAAAACGTTGTTGTTGCCCGCATTAACAGAGATGTTTCCTACAAACATTAATCTTAATTCTGCAAACGGTAAGTCCACGAATGCACTGTTATAAAACAGCGGTCAATCTACTTTGCTCTACTTATTATACATTTTGCGTTACTTTTCATCTTTGACAACTTCTATCTAACATGATATATATTATAAATAATGTTTGGCCCTAACCTTTAATGGTTCGAATCCAACTAAGGTCTTTTGTTTATTTCATGTGAAAAAGTTATCAACCTGACATACAAAAGGTCGGGTTTTCTGACCTTACTTCTTCTTATGTCCCAAATAATACACATGATGACACCCTTATGTCTTCCTTAACACATAAAAGCTGAAAAGCCGCCGTATGATTTTTACAGTATCGGTTAATCAGTGTGAATTAAAAAAAACTTATTGGCATGACATGTATTCAGATACATTTTTCCTCAGACAGCGTATTGAAACTATAAATATAAAACTAACAACCAAGTTATGTTTATTTTCAAGTGCGCATAATATATCAGTTCATTATATTTGCCTCATTGGCGACGCCGGTGAGCGGCGTCGTCTATTATGGAACGCTTTTTTTTTTTGCCTATGGAAGGAGCTGTTATTATTAGCAGTTAATTTCATGTTGTGTTAATTAGTTTTATTTTGATTCGTAAAAATCAAGTAAACAAATGTGTTATTATATTTGTATTTAATAACTTTTTATAAAAAGCATGTGCATTGTGATATTATTTTCACGAAATTTCAGGTTAAGTTTAACAGCTTGTCCCTTAGTTTTAATGACAATACTAAAACCCGGATTTCGAATATCGTTGTGGTCTAGATTGAGGCCGTATCAGTTCATTCATTCATTTATACATTTTCAAAATTTTCCTACAAGAAGAAAGTTCACCTGCAATTGAGTATAAGGATAGGTAATGGAACTGTTGTAAACGATTATCCTATTGATTTTATCCTTATTACATTTATCTGTTGCGCAGAATGGTTGTTTTTACAAAGTGTACCAGTATCCGGATGTTGAAAGCTATCCGATTTTCTGCAATTACTGCTGACACATGGCCATCTATTTTTTTATGAATACTTTACCATTAATTTGCATGGCTTGATAAAACTGAACCTGCAGCATTTCATAATTTTGCTGTTTAGGGTGTTCTTTTGGGTTTCAGGTTTTCTTTATTTTAAGGGGAAGTAACTCATGTTTACTAAATTATTTGTTCTTTTCTGTCTATCTTAGGTATTACTTATAATACTAGGATTTCATATTTATTTAATATAAACTGGGAATTATTAATGTTATGTGCATACATGTATATCTTAGACGGTAGTATATTGATATGTTGAGACTTATATTTTCTGCATTTAAAGAGATACAGTTATGTCATTATTATTAAAGGGATGAGACTTTCATTTAAAGTTATAAATGATAAAACATGTATTGATTGAAAATGTCCTTAAACTTGGATCAAGCAATATAATTAATAAAGTCTCAAAAAATCATATTCTGAATAGTTATTCTATTTTTTTTCTAACATGTGCATAGTTTGAAAAGGACAGCTTCTGTCTTATCTATTTGTAATGAAGAGACACCGGTCTCAACCTCCAGGTCTCCTGAGTCAACCCGACAACAGACTGTACATAGAGTAGATTGTTACTTGCCCTTGAATAAATTTGTGCACTAAATTTATAGTGGGTGATTTGTGCCACATGAAAACCAACATAGTACAAAAAGTAACTGGGCGCCAGATGAAAACATGAAAATACAATCTACCACAAAGTGGTTTGTTTGTTGCATTTTCATGTTTTTGCCCGGTGCCCTTGATGCAAAATACAAATCAGCCTTCGTAAAATTTCTTATGTTGGTCACAGGTTTGAGTTCTGGTCAAGCTCAAAGTTTTTCTCATCCTGTGACTGCATATAAGCATGAGTTCAATTTCCTATGCTCTGTAACATAAGAAATTCACGAACACAAATCGATATAGTGGGGGAAATATGTTGTGGTTTAGAACTGTTTCATTATTAAGAGAAAATGTGTAGCAGGCCGGATAGCTCAGTTGGTCTTCTGAAAGTCATGGGTTCGAGTCATGGTCAGGCAGTTTCAGTCAGGGTTTAGAAGTGGTTTTTCAACTGACACATGTTTGATTCATTTAACAGATTGCATTATTTGAAATGGACAAAGGCAGTATTGCATGATACTTTTAGATCTACAAAGGGCATTTGATACAGTTGAACACACTATACTGCACATCTGGGATGATGAAGAAGTTGTTTTTTCTTCTTCTTCATGAAACTTCAAGCATCTGCCATATATAATGACATTCTTACATGGTTTAAGTCTTATCTCTGATAGCAGCTGGTTGATGTGGCTGGTACTCATTCTACTACTGCTCTGGGAGTACCTATGCTGTCCCCCTGATGTTCATTTTAGGTCCTCTTTTATGTCTAATATATGTCAATTACATGTCTTCAACCCTAAGCAATAAGCTTTTTATTATAATGCACAGGCACGAGTATCAGACCTTGGAAGAAAAAATATGGCCAGATTGATGAAAAAAACCTGTGTTCATCTTAAAAGTGTCAACAACCAAAATAAAATGTAAATAATGACCCCCTTTAAAAATATACTTCAAGTTGATAGTATATTTTTAAAGGGGATCATTATTTACATTTTTTGTTTTGGTTTTTATAAACACAGTTTTTTTTATCAATCTGGTCATCTGGTCATATTTTTTCTTCCCAGGTCCGATACTCGTGCCAGTGATTATATGCTGATGACTCAGGAATCCTTGTGTCTCATAAATAAATCTGAAGAAATTCTTTCTTATAGCATAAGTCTTATAAGATTGCTTAATTGACTATAAATTGTCTTTGCATCTTGGCAAGACAGAGTCTATTCTTCTTTGGTTTAAGTTTCAACTTAAACTGGCCCTAGCCTCCAGGTCACATGTAATGGTACTGCTATAAAGTACACATCTTTTGTTAAGTATTTAGGTGCAAATCTGGATCAAATTCTTTTGGCGTCGCCCTTTGATGCTTTGCATCAATGATTTTCTTGTTTATCTATTTATATGCGCTCGGTTCCCAAGCATCTTGACCAATCCATCATCATTACATACTTGGTGATAAACTTTAACTACAACAAACCACCGCCTACAAAATTCACAACGAGTGTTCACGATTTAATAGTTATTTACATCTAAAAAGAGAAAGAAAACAAATTTTAAACAAAACACGATTTACTCGATAATAATGAAACTAGACTACTGAAATAAAAAAATGTGTTTAATAAACGATACACGTGGTGTTTATGAAAACGATCAAGTTTAGAGAAT